AATCACAGGTTAGACCGCCCACAGGTTAGACCGCCAGTGCACGGCCCCAGCAGCGTTGCTGAAAAGAAAACTTGTCGCGTACGCAAATTTCGGAGGCCACTGAGCGCCGTGGATAAATTGAATTGGCGGCGGGCGGCCTGCGAAAAGGGCCTGCGGCAGGTAACTGGATGTACTGGTGGTTCAAGACCGAAAATTCAGAAATATAGTTGCGGAAGTCCGAGACGAGCTTTGTGAGATTTCGATGATCCGTTGGCAACTTGGCGCTGTCGGCTCAATTTTATATTTTTTTTCTGCTTGTCATTCTATGAGATACGTAGTTAAAAAAAGAAAAAGCGTAGTTGTCAATGGCGTGGTCTCCTCTCGGACTAGTGACTTGTCGACCAATGTTGTGCATTCTTTGCAGGAAATATTATTTCGCATCCAAAAAACAGAAAAAAAACAGAAAAAAGACAGAAATGCTAGAAACTATTGGAGCCAGCATGGTCAAGGCCCACAAGAAACAAACACAAGAACTGAAGATGTCCACAAAGTCAAGGTACCAAAAAACGGGGCGGGCCTGCTCAATCGGTCTAGGAGGGAGCCAGATAGATTGGCAGCCGGAATGGAGGGAAGGGGCATCTATTTCTGGATGCCCCCTGGATTTGGAAGCCCTCCCCTCATAATTCCCACTACCAACCATGTAGCTGTCTCTTATACACATCTAGATGTGTATAAGAGACAGGGTTACTATCTGTTAGGTGTGTTCATGCACACGAGTCTTTTTCGCTTCTGGGTACAATTCTGGATGCTATTTGTTAAAGGACGCTGGACACGCTGGACCCGGTTTCCAGCAGGTGCTGCTCCCCACCAATAGCTGGAAGCCACCCGGGGGGGTATCACAGGGGGCTGCTCTTGACACCCTCTAGGATACATTCCCGGTTCGTTTTGAAAAACAACAACAAAAAAAAAAAAAAAAAAAAAAGCAATAGACTCCTTCCAAAATATCTGGCTGGACTCGCAGCAGAAAATGGTGACTTAAACCCTACAGGGATGCTCACGTTAACGCCTAATTTCGGGTTTAGGTTCGATAGGTTGTACTTCATGTTTTTCATTTGAACCTATTATGTCCCGTTCGGGAGACTTTGGTGTACGATTCTTCTTATTCTCCTTTCTTCTTTCCTCTCTATGCCTTATCTTCTCTTGTCTCCCGGTCGTATCTGGTTGTCCTATGTGTTTTGCCGATTGCCTCGTATGCTGTTGATGGTTATGATGTTGTGCGAGTTCAACTCACCTTCATTTTGACGGTTGGAACCACCGTAGGGATTGCACTACGTGTGCGTGACCCGTTTAGTCGTCATTTGCGTACGATTGTTTATTCCGTGTGCTTGTTCTTGTTGATTATTTAGAATGGCTAGTGTGCCTGTGAGAGATGGGTGTTTTCTGTGCGGTTCCTTGAGTCATTGGGCTCGCAAATGTCCTCAGCGGGGGTTGGGGTTTCGTCCACCTGCTACCAGTGCGAACACTGTCCCCACCGGTCCTCCTCTCTTGGCTTTGCCCCCTCCCTCCAATGGGGCTTCTTCTTCTTCCGCTGATCATGCTTCCACGTCCATGGGTCCTTCGACCTCTAATTTTCGCCAGGCTAATGTTTCAAACAGATCGAATTGGTGGGTACGCTACCAGGAGCGCCTCGACAAAATGTATAGCAAGTTCGTGGAAGATACGGAGAAGGAGGCTAGGAGGAAAGAGGAAGAGGAGAAGGAGAAAGCTAAAAAAGAGGAGGAGGAAAAGCGTTGCTTATGGGTTAAGGAGCGTGAAGAGTTTGAAGAAGCCATGGGCACGCATCTCGAGAAAAGGCTTGACGCCTTGGGAGTTATGAGGGGAAAATCTGTGGATGATGGGACCACTGGGTGCAGCAGTGATGAGGTCTCTAGATTGCGCAGAGAAAACGAAGATCTCAAGAAGAAACTCAGCGAGGCTTTGTGTCATTCAGGTGATGATCGGGTTCTGTACTTACAGAAGGAGGTGATGGAACTGCGGCGGCAGGTGGCGGGTAAACAGGTGAATGAGGATGCGATTCTTGCGTTGAAGGAGGAAATAGGGGAGCTGATCAATTTTGAGCAGGAAATTGCCGGTTTGCGCAAGGAGGTGAACCTGCTACGGGATCAGAATGCGCGTGTTATTGCGGAGGCCGGGCAGTGGAAAGAGGAGGCATTGAGACCAGGTAACAAACGTGGCTGCGTGGCGATGCAGACGCCTGACTGCTCTAATCGGGGAACTCGAAAACCTCGACGATCTGAGGTTGTGAGTGGCAGCACGCGGTGGAAGGAAGAGTACTGCAACCTACGTAGCCTTCACCGTTTGGCGAACATCGAAGCTTGAAGCTCTCAAGGAGAAGCGTGCGGAAGCTGAGATGAAACGTATGGAGGCCGAGAAGCATGTCATGACCCTTGAAGAGCAGATGAGCCGCCTGATGGCCGGTGGTGATAACGACAACGCCCCGGGTGGAACCAACCTGAAGGAGCGCCTTGAGGAAGTTGCGGTTCGATCAGCTAGGAAGGGAATGAAAGCAACTCCAAGGAGAGCGGGTGGACCTGCTGCTCCTGCAGCCGAGAATGGTCTGGAGTCATCAGCGAAGAAGTCTACACACACCGTTGCCAATGATCGTGCTGAATTTGTCGAGGAGCAGAAGAAGCAACTCCGCATGTTGAGAAAGATTGGTTTGGAACCCCTGTGCAAGGAAGAGGGTGTGAAGCTCGGTAAGTTTGAGGATACGATATGCGAGTTGGCCGAGGCTCGCGCTCGTAAGGCTTTTGGGGATGGTAAGGGTATACCACCCAAGCAAGCTTACGAGATCCAGGAAGTGAGTGAAGACACTTCGAGGGAGGTAAGCAACAATTGAGGACGAGGAAGTGAGATCTGTTGAGTTATAGGGGGGTTTCCCGAACGTGGCAAATCCCGAGATTTGCAAAAGAAGTAGAGCAATCATCACACGAGATTGACTCATTCATTGATAAGGCATCCATAGGGATTGCGAGGAGGAGAAGAGCAACATCACACAAGATCTGCCCATTCATTTCGAGAGTACTCCGAGAAACAAAGCGACAACCAAGGAGAGACACGACATCTCAGAAGAACAAAGCTGAAACAAAGTGCTTATTCCCAACTCAAAAAAAGTTTCGCCGCCCACCTCACGCATCTACTGCCGAACAGTTGCAAGGGAGGATCGGGGGGGTAGAAGAAGAAGAGAGAACAAGAAGGGGGTGAGGGAGGAGTGGAGGAGGGGGGAAGGGGAGGGGGAGGGGGAAGGGGGAAAAAAGAAGTTATCCCGCTTCAGGTCTCTCCTCCATATCAGCGCATTCCTGCATCTGCGCAGATCATCTCGCCGAATTGCGGGAAGGGCATGGCAGCTCCCTGAAGCGCTTTTCTGCCCCATGCCACATGGGGCGTCATCAGAGGGGGGGACATCTTCCAGGCACCCTGGAAGGCAAGGGGGTGGTGAAGGTTGATGAGGTGTTCAGGTTATGGGTCAGGGGGGGCGGAGGAGGAGGATCATTAGGTTGGGGGGGAGGGGGTTGGGAGGGGCGAAGGGGCAGGGAGGTTCATGCGGAGAGGGGTAGGGAAGGGAGTGGATGAAGAAGAGGAAAGAGAGGAAGGAAAGGAACACTAGGAAGGCGAGAAAGGCACAGGAGGAGTCCTCTGCTGCAGATCTACGCTCCATCGCTCTAGCTCGAAGTCCGCTCAGTACCCAAGCCGCTCCAAAGCGCCCAAGATAAAAAACAAGCAGCAGCAGCTAGCGAGGAAGAGGGTTGCGTAGCAGATGGTGCACCCGACTACAAACGTGAAACGCCTCGCCGATAGCGGGAGAAAGACGCTCTCCGAGAGGCATGCGAGAAACAGGGCGCAGGCTATGGCGAGATTGGGGAGCATGGCGAGGAGGAGGATGAGCAAGAAGGCGGTGCTTTGCGCCGGCGCGAGGGTTGGAATAGCCGGAGCGGGTTCGGCGGGGCAGGGAGAGGCAGTGTGCATGATGGCCGGTCCCGGGGTGCTCAAGCGTCGGGGTGTGGACAGAGAGCCGGGAAGGTGCCGTTCCTCAGCGACGTTTCCACTTCCTCCTCATTCCGCTGCTCCTCCTCCAGGTCCCAGTCTGCGAAAAAGTCCATCATGTCCGTCGATCCGGCAGCCACTCGCAATTGCGGAAGACGCGGAAGCTCCGTTTGAATAGTCGCGCCGTGCTGCGATGAATAGAACCCCTGAGTTCTGTTCTGATATAGTCGCGATGTGCGAGTCCGGGTTACGACTTTAGAGAACAAGCTATCGCGGCAATCCATACATCTATGCGCGCTTATCCTACGTACAGAAAAAAAGACGAAAAAAAAAAGAAAAAAAGAAGAAAAAAAAAAARAAAAAAAAAAAAAAAAAAGACAGAAAAAAAAGGGTTGGCGCGATCAGTGATGATGGGGCGGAATAGGACGATCCGTATCACAGATCCGAGATCGGTTAGCGCCTCCTCAAGGGTTCCTCGCACACACCCCGGTTATTCGTATCTGTCCGAGAGCGAGCTGCTTTCGTGACCCAACAACGGCGCCTAAGGGTTCACCTGGAATGGTCAAGGCTCGGTTACCCGCCCATTTACCGGTCCAAAACAACAGAAAAGAAAAGAAAAAGAAAAAGAAAAACAGGAAGAAGGGGAAAAAAAGGGGAAAAGGGAAAAGGGAAAGACAAAAAAAGGGAAAAGGGCGCGGAAGCTCCGTTTGAATATTCGCGCCGTGCTGTGATGAACTGGACCCCTGTGTTGTTGTTCTGATATAGTTGCGATGTGCGACTCCGGGTTACAGCCTTAGAGAACAAGCTTCGCAGTTATTCATACATCTAAGTGCGTTCACCCTACATACAGAAAAAGAAGAAAAGAAGGAAAGAGGAAAAAAAAAAGAAAAGAATGAAAAAGAAGGAAAAGAAGAAAAAAGGAAAAGAAGAAAACGAAAGAAAGGAAGAAAAAAAGAGAACAAAAAGCAAGGAGAAAAAGGGGGGGGCGGCCCTGCGAATTTGTCCGTCCAGCTCCCGTCGTTCTCCCAATGCCCTGTCACCTGTATGCGTGTGTGTGTGTGTGTGTGTGTGTGAGAGAGAGAGAGAGAGAGAGAGAGAGA